AATGGATTTTCTTATATTTTGGATTATTTTTATCATTATTTAAGTTGGATATGTCAAAATTGTATTCAAAAATTATTTTTAGTTTCCTCCTTGTTTAAATTTTTACGGACTTATATAGAATTATAAAATAAAAATATAAGCAGAATTATTAAAAAATAAAAATTTATATTTTAAAAAGTCTGTATTACTACTACTGCATATATAAAAACTTTAATTATGTCATAGTTATTTATAATAATAATATACCATGTACTGTGCATTGAATAAAAAACTAAAAAATGTATCACTATTGATAACCATTTTCGGAAAAAGCGAATTGATTTAGTTATTATATACTGCACTTGAGACCTTAAAGTTACCATTTTGCACACTCTTCCCTCTTCCCTTTAAGTCTTAGGTCACTAGGTTTTATTAAGACTGAATCTATTGTCAGTGGGCTTTCAGGATTGGTGTTTATTTGTCTAAATGACTAAGGGYCATTCTTACAATGCTCGGTTAGTGCCTGATAACACTAACMGGAAGAATTTATTATGAGTTAACCGATAGAATTCTACCGGTTAGTCTTAACCGACACWTRACCGGACATTGTAAGAACGGCCTTAAATRATATAGTTTTCTTTAGAAGTGAGGTTGAATAATTTTTTGTGTAGACAAAGCTAAACWTATTAGTAGGTCTATAGTCTTATTTATAATTGAGAATATCTTTTAAAATCTAAATTTTCTTACTATTTMCCCCCACATTTTACCATAYATAGGCGATATTATACATAAATTTGAACAATTTAAATGTCTAACCTATCTATTATGCTTAGAAAATACAAATTTAAAGGTTTTACAATATTAAATATTTATCTAAAAAAAAACAAAATTAGTTTTGTTTTAAAATTTGAATTTTTCGTATGTTGTTTCGTCCCAATTGTTGAATTGTTTATTATAAAAATAAAAATCAGGAAAATGCTAGGACGCTGCAGTTTACGTAAATGGTAAATATGAATCGCGGAAAAAACGGAAAAAAACCCAAATAAACCCTAACCTATAAAATATTACAATTTACAATGATTGCACTTTTATTTTCTTTGGCTTTTTTTCCGTGGGTTTTTTTCCGGGGTGTATTTTTCAGTTTGGGTTTTTTTCCGCCTACCGGTAAATATACATAGACACATAGTTCTGCTAATAAAATATAATTTAAAGTAATAAATGTACCGTATTATAAAAGTTGAATGATGAGTGTTATCGATATTAACCATTAAATAAATACAATAAATTACTTTACTCGAGTTCTCTAGCCCATATTATAGTGAAAGAACCGAATAGTGGTTTACGCGCCCGCCGCGCGTTTTATAATGTTTTTCTCTTCCATGATCGGCTAGTACCCGGTGGAAGAGTTGAATCGCGAGAGACACGAAGTCGATGAGGCGGTTTTTATCAGTGGTTTTGTCCTTGAGCGCGCGTGTGCTGTGTTTTCATCGTTCTTTCTCCAACGCTGCTATATTGTTACCTGCCGATACACAGGTATAAACTATAAGTATTAAGTATACAACTCACCGTTGTGGATTTCGTGCCGTGTTTTTATTATTATTATTATTATTATTGTTATTTATTTATTATTTTCGATTTCGTGTGGGTTGTCAACGCGTCGTTGTTCTCAATCTATTCAGTTTTTTATTTTCGCAGTGTCTATCTCAAATAGTTTTGCCGCCGATTTGTTCGCTACGACCTCGGTTGACGGTGCGCGCAATTTCCGAATAGTTAAAACTCGAAAACGATCCTGTGGCCTGTGAGCTGTGTTGTCTGCGACTCTTGGGGCGTTCGCCCTGTGTTTAGCGCCTAGTGTGTTTGGCATGTTAACTATTAAGTCCGGATTCATATAGCTCCGCTCCTCAGCCTTACTTCCCTAACCACAACTCGTGGTCACCTCTCCCCGATATTTAAATTGAACCTATCCTACGACTGAATAATTCACAATGAGTGTCGACACGTATGGACCGAGTTCACAGAACTTGACATTCTTGGAGACCGAAGAAGGCGATATGATTGGCGCAGATACCCAGGGTAGCGAGTTTGAGTTTACCGACTTCACATTACCGTCCCAGAGCCAACCGCCAATGTCTCAATTGGACTCATCATCATCAAACCATCGAGTATGACCGATTTTCACCCCATTTATGAAAAAACTTTATCTTGTTACAAATTGCTTTATTTTTTTTAAAAATTTCTTTTTACAGATGCAATTGCTGAGCAATAAAACTGATAAAGATGACACTAATGTCATTACAGTCACTAAGAAAATTGGTGAACTGCAGTTTGAGGATGAAGAAGAAGATTCGTTTTTTACAAAAGTAATATTTTTGAGTATTATTACCAACTAAGAGAAATTATTATTGGTATTTAAAAAAATTTAAAGTATTGAACACAGAAGAAACTTGATTTTATTGATGTTATTTTATATACTGTAATCTATCCATGGTTTAAAATCATTATCTACATATTATTTAATTGAACCAATTAGCTGTGTAGAAGTAAACATTAATTTTATACTTATTTAAAAGTTTTGTTTATACTCTATTCAGCTTAAAATTGAATCGCTTCCGTGCATATAGCTTCATGTTTGATCATYATGCTATCGCTATACAGTGATGTGATTAGGAATTTGGTTTGGGGGCGGCGGGGATTATATGTTTTTAGCAAAATCTGTTAGCTTTATACAGTAACCTACCCCACCAAGTATAAAATTTTAGCAAAAAATAAAAGTTTTGAGGTGGTTCTACCCCCTTMATCACCTTTCAATTACTCCTCTGTCGCTGTATTGTATATTTGGTTGACAATTAATGGCAACGGACGAGGTGGCAGATGTTGATCATCGATATTTACTGTAACATGCATTATAACTTGAATAGAGTAATGTCTTTTAACTTAATTTTTAAATTATACAAGTGAAAATGTTAATTTAAACTAAAATATATGTATGGGAATTTATTAAATTTAGAAATAATATCAAATGAATAACWAATGCACTTCATTATCATTCTCACAGAAAATCACATTTTAATATAKAACTAAATAATACATTTTGTAAAAATTACTCATTTAAAGTGCTACATTATTATAAGCAAATTCTACTATAAAGAACTTGTGCCATAAAAAAGTCACTAAATACATTTTTTWAAATATTTTTTGTATTTTAATTAACTGAATAATAATTTTTTTGAATTTGTTTTATTTGTTTCGTGTGCTACAATTTTAATATTAGGTTGTATTTTAATTTATACATTTATATAATTTACCTATTGAGAAACAATTGATTAAATTACCCATAAAGTTAAAATATATCTCAAAAAGTATAAAATTGAAGAAATATGCTCTAAAAATAAAAAAATAATGATCAGCATTTATATGCAAAATTATATTTAACAACYAGCACTGTGGAACCAAGAAACAGATTTGTCTTGATTTCTACTATTTTTGTGACTATATAAAACCAATATACAAATCCTACAAGTTATTCGCCCTATTTAAAAATAAGAATTATTGATGATTATTTAAAAATTGTTTTGTATAATATACAGGTGTAACAGAGATACATGGAAAAAAAGATTTGATACTAGTTAAACATATGATAAATAATTTAGGAAATATACTTATGTCAGGAAATTCTCAAAAAGAATAGTYTTATAAAAGTTATTTCATTTCAAATTAATTTATTCAAAAATATTGATATTTTAAAAATAAACTACTTCATGTCTTCACTTAAATAAATGTTTTTACTATTGAGATTTGTCTAAAAATTAAATTTACAAATTGTCTTTTGAATAAAAAATAAAAAAATTGAACAAAATTTAAAAAAATATAAATTAGAACAAGTTATTTCATCTATCAGGTCTATTATGTCTTTCCTAGTACACTCTGTATATCAAGGCTGGGCAAGTTAATGATTTTTTTTAACTCGGTTAAGTTAAGTTAAATTAAAATCTAAATCAAGTTAATTGTTAAAAGTTAATTCAAAATGTTCCATCAATTGAATTAAGTTAAGAGTTAACCAAAATTTAATATTAACTTTTTAATTCAAGTTAAGTTAAAAAAAGTTTCTTGTTTGCTTATAGATAAAA